ACACTGACCCTCACTGACCATGCATGACTCCAACACCAGCATTAACCTTTTACTGCAGTGGGCTAAATAAGGGTCACACAAAGTGTTTCTTGCCAGTCTTAAACAAATCTAAGGCCACTAATGGGGAAATTTGGTCATTTGACTGCAGGAAACGGCTACATTTGCTGATGACACGATGGTGGTAGGCATGATCACCGACGACGATGAGACAGCCTACAGGGAGGAGGTAAGAGACCTGGCAGTGTGGTGCCGGGTCAACAACCTCTCCCTCAACGTCAGCAAGACAAATGAGCTGATCGTGGACTACAGTAAACGGAGGACCGAGCACGCCCCCATCCACATCGACGGGGCTGTAGTGAAGCAGGTCAAGAGCTTCAAGTTCCTCGGTGTCCACATCACTAAGGAATTAGCATGTTCACACACACCAACACAGTCATGAAGATGGCACGACAATGCCTTTTCCTCCTCAGGAGGCTGAAAAGATTTGGCGTGGGCCTTCAGATCCTCAAAAGTTATACAGCTGCACCATTGAGAGCATCTTGACTGTCTGCATCACCGCTTGGTATGGCAACTGCTTGGCATCCGACCGCAAGGCGCTACAAAGGGTAGTGCGTACGGCCCAGTACATCACTGGGGCCGAGCTCCCTGCCATCCAGGACCTCTATATCAGGCAGGGTCAGAGGAAGGCCTTAAATATTGTCAAAGCCTCCAGCCACCCAAGTCATAGACTGTTCTCTCTGCTACTGAACGGCAAGCGGTACTGATGCACCAAGTCTGGAACCATCAGGACCCTGAACAGCTTCTACCCCCAAGCCATAAGACTGCTAAATAGTTAGTTAAATTGTTAACCAATAGCTACCCGGAATATCTGCATTGACCCTTCTTGCACAAACTCTTTTGACTCATCACATACGCTGCTGTTACTGTTTATTATCTATCCTGTTGCCTAGTCACTTTATCCCTACCTATATGTACACATCTACCTCAATTATACTGGTAACCCGTGTATATAGCTGTCACGTCTACTCCCGCTCCCCCGCTCCGGTGCTCGACGTCGCCGGTCTACTAACCAGCGGTCCTGGCAACCCATCATTACGCACACCTGGCAACCATCATTACGCACACCTGCGCCCCATCATGAGGCACACCTGCGCCCCATCATGAGGCACACCTGGACTTCATCACTCCCTGATTACTTCCCCTTTATCTAACACTCCGTTGTATCACCCTTTAGGTAGTATTGTTTCCTGTTTTCATGTTTAGACACTACTCCTGTTTTGTATTCACTCTATGTTCGTTCCTATTAAACTCACCGACTGCACCTGCTTCCTGACTCTCCGTTACAATAGCCAAGTTTTCATTACTCATTGTGTTATTATTTTTCTATTATTTCTCTTTTTTTCTGTCTGCATTTTGTATTTTGTATTTATTATGGATCCCCATTGTTGGGAAGGGCCCATCAGTAAGTATTTCACTGTTAGTATACAGTGCCTTGCAAAATTATTCATCCCCCTTGGCGTTTTTCCTATTTTGTTGCATTACAACCTGTAATTTAAATGGATTTTCCTTTGGATTTTATGTAATGGACATACACAAAATAGTCCAAGTTAAATGAAAAAAATTGAATTCTAAAGAATAAATAACGGAAAAGTGGTACGTGCATACGTATTCACCACCTTTGCTATGAAGCCCCTAAATAAGATCTGGTGCAAACAATTACCTTCAGAAGTCACATAATTAGTTAGATTGCACACAGGTGCACTTTATTTAAGTGTCACATGATCTGTCACATGATCTCAGTACATATACACCTGTTCTGAAATTCCCCAGAGTCTGCAACACCACTAAGCAAGGGGCACCACCAAGCAAGCGGCACCATGAAGACCAAGTAGCTCTCCAAACAGGAATCTAGAATCTTGGAATGGCCTAGTCAAAGCCCAGACCTCAATCCAATTGAGAATCTGTGGTATGACTTAAAGATTGCTGTACACCAGCGGAACCCATCCATCTTGAAGGAGCTGGAGCAGTTTTGCCTTGAAGAATGAGCAAAAATCCCAGTGGCTAGATGTGCCAAGCTTATAGAGACATACCCCAAGAGACTTGCAGCTGTAATTGCTGCAAAAGGTGGCTCTACAAAGTATTGACTTTGGGGGTGGTGAATAGTTACAGTGGGGAAAAAAAGTATTTAGTCAGCCACCAATTGTGCAAGTTCTCCCACTTAAAAAGATGAGAGAGGCCTGTAATTTTCATCATAGGTACACGTCAACTATGACAGACAAATTGAGGAAAGAAAATCCAGAAAATCACATTGTAGGATTTTTAATGAATTTATTTGCAAATTATGGTGGAAAATAAGTATTTGGTCACCTACAAACAAGCAGGATTTCTGGCTCTCACAGACCTGTAACTTCTTATTTAAGAGGCTCCTCTGTCCTCCACTCGTTACCTGTATTAATGGCACCAGTTTGAACTTGTTATCAGTATAAAAGACACCTGTCCACAACCTCAAACAGTCACACTCCAAACTCCACTATGGCCAAGACCAAAGAGCTGTCAAAGGACACCAGAAACAAAATTGTAGACCTGCACCAGGCTGGGAAGACTGAATCTGCAATAGGTAAGCAGCTTGGTTTGAAGAAATCAACTGTGGGAGCAATTATTAGGAAATGGAAGACATACAAGACCACTGATAATCTCCCTCGATCTGGGGCTCCACGCAAGATCTCACCCCGTGGGGTCAAAATGATCACAAGAACGGTGAGCAAAAATCCCAGAACCACATGGGGGGACCTAGTGAATGACCTGCAGAGAGCTGGGACCAAAGTAACAAAGCCTACCATCAGTAACACACTACGCCGCCAGGGACTCAAATCCTGCAGTGCCAGACGTGTCCCCCTGCTTAAGCCAGTACATGTCCAGGCCCGTCTGAAGTTTGCTAGAGTGCATTTGGATGATCCAGAAGAGGATTGGGAGAATGTCATTTGGTCAGATGAAACCAAAATATAACTTTTTGGTAAAAACTCAACTCGTCGTGTTTGAAGGACAAAGAATGCTGAGTTGCATCCAAATAACACCATACCTACTGTGAAGCATGGGGGTGGAAACATCATGCTTTGGGGCTGTTTTTCTGCAAAGGGACCAGGACGACTGATCCGTGTAAAGGAAAGAATGAATGGGGCCATGTATCGTGAGATTTTGAGTGAAAACCTCCTTCCATCAGCAAGGGCATTGAAGATGAAACGTGGCTGGGTCTTTCAGCATGACAATGATCCCAAACACACCGCCCAGGCAACGAAGGAGTGGCTTCGTAAGAAGCATTTCAAGGTCCTGGAGTGGCTTAGCCAGTCTCCAGATCTCAACCCCATAGAAAATCTTTGGAGGGAGTTGAAAGTCCGTGTTGCCCAGCGACAGCCCCAAAACATCACTGCTCTAGAGGAGATCTGCATGGAGGAATGGGCCAAAATACCAGCAACAGTGTGTGAAAACCTTGTGAAGACTTACAGAAAACGTTTGACCTGTGTCATTGCCAACAAAGGGTATATAACAAAGTATTGAGAAACTTTTGTTATTGACCAAATACTTATTTTCCACCATAATTTGCAAATAAATTCATTAAAAATCCTACAATGTGATTTTCTGGATTTTTTCTCTCTCATTTTGTCTGTCATAGTTGACGTGTACCTATGATGAAAATTACAGGCCTCTCTTCTCAAGTGGGAGAACTTGCACAATTGGTGGCTGACTAAATACTTTTTTTCCCCACTGTATGCATGCTCAAGTTTTCTGTTTTTTAAAATATTTTTTCTTGTTTGTTTCACAAGAAAAAATATTTTGCATCTTCAAAGTGGTAGGCATGTTGTATAAATCAAATGATACAAACCCCCCAAAAATCAATTTTAATTCCAGGTTGTAAGGCAACAAAATGGGAAAAATGCCAAGGGGGGTGAATACTTTCGCAAGCCACTGTACATACACCTGTTGTTTACGACGCATCTGACAAATAACATTTTACTTGAGATTAAAATAGGCTTAATTAAATAACTATGGAATCCTTTCATTGGTAGCAGGTAATCTAGGGGATGCTCTGATGTATGTCACAACTTAGTGAATTCTGTCTTTCAATATTATGGTGAATACAAGACTGGCTTTTGTGATTGCTGCTTTTTTGTGATTGGTGCTAAGACAACTATATGATAGAAGTAACCTGGAATGTTCTCTTTACATTATATTGAAATGCAAACAAGCTTTATTGGGATGAACATTTCTTATGTTCTGTCTGACTATGTGCCTGTCTGTGTGTGTGTGTCTCTCTCTTTCACTAACTCCCTTCATGTTTGTCCCCCCTTGTTCACGCTGTCTCATTCTCTCTCTCTCCTTCTCTCTCCTTCTATAAAGAGTGATAACAGCGGGAAGTGTATCTCAGTAGGTCAACTCAGAACCCGTTCCTGCAGGACACACACACACGCAAACAAACACACAAACAGCAGTCTACAGGGGGTGGATATGTATAGGTCAGCCTCCTCAGACCAGAGAGGAAGATCAATGTGAGAGAGAAGTAAACACACTAAAATACTCAGAGAAAGAGGGATGGAGGGAGAGGGAAGCAGAGAGAGAGAGGAGAGATGGAGGGAGGGAAATAGGGGATGAGGAGAGACAGAGAGAGAGAGACAGAAAGAGAAAGACAGACAAAGAGAGAGACAAAGAGACCATCACCCACCTTTGTCAGCCCTGGTGATGAGGAGATCCTGAGGTTCTAGAACATGCATCTGCTTCACCACCATGGTTTTATCAAACACCTGCACTGGGGGCAGGACCTGGGCGTCTACCAACACAACACAATGCATTGGTCTATTGGTCATTCCTTATGCAGCACTAAGGATCTTACTATTGTTGAAACACTGACATTGGCTGAAATAGTAGGCTGAATTAAATGATTTAGGTCTATTGAACACTAAGAAGTTGTAGCACTGAATGGGGAGAATTGACTGTGTTACACTCACCTGGGTTTGAAAGAAGTGGATCAACAGCTGAAATATAGGGAAAGTATAATGTTAAGAGTTGAATTTTATGACTACATCAATGCTGATTGAATCATTGATATTATTGGTGATATTCAAGTGATAATTGAATAATGCATATGACAGTTATAATAAAAAAAGAGTCCACTGTAATTATAAAGCGCATTTCATTCTACAAGCTCAGTGTGATGACCTCACCATCTATCATCATGACCCCTGCTGCTTCCGTGGCGACCAACAGAGACTGACCCCAGGAGTCAGCACACACTGTCTCATAGGGAAACGTACTGCAGAATGACTGGGACTCCCAAGGCTGCAACACACGCACACGCACTCGCACGCACACACACACACACACACACACACACACACACACACACACACACACACACACACACACACACACACACACACACACACACACACACACATTTAAAAAGGACATCACAGGAAAACCAACACGTATTTACCAGTATAGCCACTGGTGTCTACATTATGTTACAATGCATGCTAAAACAGAATATATCATAATTAGTAAATATGTCATTATGGCATGGTGATCCATTATGCCTCAGTGAGAAAAAGTAGTGCATGGTAGAGGTTGACACGGGAACAGGACTCACGCGGGTCTTGCGGGTCCCGCGGGATTCTAGTAGGAATGGGAGTCAAGTTCTAGAGTCAAGTTCGGGACAGGACGGGACAGGATCAACAGTCCACAGGAACGGGCAGTACAGGAATAGTTAAAAACAGATTTTTTGGGGCGGAAGTATGTCATGTGTGGAGCATTTCATAAAAATCAACAACTGTGTAGGCTAGGCTTAATATACAAAAGTATGTGGACACTTGTTCTTTGAAAATCTCATTCCAAAATCATGGGCATTAATATGGAGTTGGTCCCCCCTTTGCTGCTATAACAGCCTCCACTCTTCTGGGAAGGCATTCCACTAGATGTTGGAATATTGCTGTGGGGACTTGCTTCCATTCAGCCACAAGAGCATTAGTGAGGTCGGGCATTGATGTTGGGCTATTAGGCCTGGCTCGCAGTCACCGTTCCAATTCATCCCAAAAGTATTCGATGGGGTTGAGGTCAGGGCTCTGTGCAGGCCAGTCAAGTTCTTCCACACCAATCTCGACAAACCATTTCTGTATGGACCTCGCTTTGTTCACAGGGGCCTTCTCATGCAGAAATAGGAAGGGCCTTGCCCAAACTGTTGCCACAAAGTTGGAAGCACAGAACCATCCAGAATGTCATTATATGCTGTAGCGTTAAGATTTCCCTTCACTGGAACTAAGGGACTGAGCCCGACCCAAACAGCCCAGACCATTATTCCTCCTCCACCAAACTTTACAGTTGGCACTATGCATTGGGGCAGGTAGCGTTCTCCTGCATCCGCCAAACCCAGATTTGTCCGTCGGACTACCAGATGGTGAAGCGTGATTTATCACTCCAGAAAACGCGTTTCCACTGCTCCAGAGTCCAATGGCGGCTGGCTTTACACCACTGCAGCCGATGCTTGGCATTGCCCATGGTGCTCGGCTGACGTTGCTTCCAGAGGCAGTTTGGAACTCGATAGTGAGTGTTGCAACCGAGGACAGACGGTTTTTACGCATTTCGCGCTTCAGCATTTGGCGGTCCCGTTCTGTGAGCTTGTGTGGCCTACCAATTCGCGGCTGAGTCGTTGTTGCTCCTAGATGTTTCCACTTCACAATAACAGCACTTACAGTTGACCGGGGCAGCTCTAGCAGGGCGGAAATTTGACGAACTGACTTCTTGGAAAGGTGGCATCCTATGACGGTGCCACGTTGAAAGTCACTGAGCTCTTCAGTAAGGCCATTCTACTGCCAATGTTTCTCTATGGAGATTGCATGGCTGTGTGCTCGATTTTATACACCTGTCAGCAACGGGTGTGGCTGAAATAGCCAAATCCACAAATCTGAAGGGGTGTCCACATACTTTTGTATATATAGTGTAGTTTACTTAATAAAAATCAATATAAAAAGGGTAATTTCCCCCCTCCCCCTTCCGTCTCACTCTTGCGCCTCGCTCCAGTTGTAGCCAGTCACTATAGGCTACCTCAGATCACTATAGGCTACCTCAGATGCCAATCTACGTCAGTAGGCTAAATGATGAAGCCTCCAATAGAGGAATTGCAACGTCTTGTTGCAGCCAAGGACCCATCACTAACATTAACATTAGAGCCAAGGAAAGAGCGGTGTTTTAGCAATATTTTACGGAGTTGTCTTTGACAATGAAGGAACCGAGTACACAGCTGGTAAAAAATAGTGTGGTTTAATCAAATAGGCTACCATCTGGAGAGCGGGACAAGCGGCCTGAAGCGGCATAGCTGCTCTACTCCCAACAACTTTACCGTCAAGCCCAATTGTTCGCGTTTTTAACTAAACCTGAGGCGAAGAGTGAAATAAAAATAGATTGATTTATGCAGTAGCCTACTGCCGTAATAAAAAATGTTATGTTCGTGTTGTAAATGTTAATGTGTTGTAAGTGTTCATATGTGACCAGCTCTAGGCTACAGAATTATGCCGGTGCTGAGCAGACCATCCTGCTGGGGTCTCTGTCCTCATCCTCCAGCTTAATCCATCTACATTTAGCTAATTTAAAATACGTTCTTATCCAGAGCGACTTAGGCCTACAATCAGTTAATTTAACAAAAATAAATAATATTATCACAGTCGCATATTACATTACTGAAATAATTTTCAATACTTCCTAAACAAACACAATAGCCTACATATTTCTGTGTGCAAAAATGAGCACGGGACGGGAGTGATTTTTATCAGGAAGGGACAGGAAAGTTCAGTACAGTACAGGAAAATAATTGACAGGACAAGACCGGAAAGGAATGAATCTTCACTCCCGCGTCAACCTCTAGCGTATGGGGCTGAGTGTGTGTGTGTGTGTGTCTGTGTGTGTGTTGGTCTTCTCACCTCTTTTCTACACAGGCCTGTAGTGACCAGACTAGTGGGGGCATCTCCTCTGACGATGGTCTTCAGCTTTAGTGCCTGAACAACAGAGAGAGAGCGTGAGAGAGTGTGGTGCGTGCGTGAGATAAAGAGTGTGACTGTGCTCCTCTGTATCTCTGTGTTGACCCTGTGTATGTTGTTTGTCCCTGTGTCTGTCACCTGTCCTATCCTGACGAACTCGGCCTGTCGTGCCTCCTCCTTCTTGCGGGCGGACTTGGGCGACTCTGGCAGCACGTCACTGAACGAGCGTCTGTTGAGCATGTTCTGGGGAGAGAAGGGAACCTGCACATGGGACACAAGTGCACACACATGCGCACACACACGCGCGAACACAGACGGGCACATACACACACACGCATGCACACACACACACACATGCACACACACACAGAGACACACACAGAAAGAGAGACAGAGAAGCGGGCTTCAGAGATAGTGGGAAATACAGCAGCATAGCATATAGCAGCATAACAGCATAGCATATAGCATAGAACAGAGTCATATGAGAAACAATAGAGAGGAGTGGGAAGATGAGAGAGGGAAGGGGGGAAAAGAGGGGGAGAAAGTAAAAGACAGAAAGAGAGAGTGTGTGTCTGAGAGAGAGAGGGAGAGAGAGAGAAAAACTGAGAAAAACAAAGAAAGAGGGATAACAAAAGAGAGATGGGGTACAGAGAGAGAGAGGGGGGGGAGAGTCCAGCCACAGAAAGTGAGCATTGCAGCAGTATCCAATAGTCCCAGTGTTATGCGGTCTGCAGTGGTTAGAGCCGAGAGAGATAGACAGGGCTGCAGTGGTTCAGAACAGTAGGTAGCTCAACTGGCTGTGACACAAAAAGTGACCAGAGAGCCTGGATCAGATCAGTGGTTAGAAGCTGGTGCAAAGGATAAGGTATAGAGTACTGTCACTACCTCATATTCCAATCAAGGTGCATGAATTAAGGAGCAAACTCGTGGAGGACTATGGAAGTTGGAGGACTATGGAAAATACCTTGTTTTTTGAAGCAGGAGCAGAACCAGAGGAAAAGAGAGGAGAGCCCCATACCCTTTTCACACCATCGTGTCAACCTGAACCACACTGGCACAGATATTTTATTTTCCTCACTGTCACCACTGTTCCTACAACTATAGTGGCTGGATGCATAACCAAGCCAGTGGAGGACAACTCAGTTTAGCTCAGCTCGGTTTGGCTCAGTAGTGTGAAAAGGGTAGGGAAGAAGGCCCAAAGGACTAGACTAGGCTGGGTTAGTTAGGGTGTGGCAAAGCTGTACCTTGTGGAGGTCAGGGATGAGGTCCTGGTAGAGGGAACGGATCAGCATGTCCAGAGTCCGCTGGCGCTTCTGGGCAAACGTGGGCGTCTCCAGGGTGGCCTTCTCTCCATTGATTACTGCAGGACAGAGAGAGGGGTTATTTAGTAGAACATACCCACATGCACGTACACATTTCTTATGTGATCACCATAAAAAGACAAACCTAGAACAATGCACAGCTTCAAAAACTCTATTCCAATTCAAACATTCTTTGGTCACATTTAAACTATCAACATCTTGTAAAGGCTTACTGAATGCCTCCATAAAGCCTTTGTAATGTCTACATACTGTAGATGTTTTACTAATAATTCATATCTCCTACTATGATTATGACACATGTGGCAAAGCACGAGGAAAGGGTCTTTAAATGTGACATTTGCTCATGAAGGTTTTGTAAGTTTGACCGATTCATCACTGCAGTGCATTAGCTCATTGCATACAGTAGAGCAGTAACAGTCTGTAAACTAAACAGTCTGTAAACTAAACAGTCTGTAAACTAAACAGTCTGTAAACTAAACAGTGTGTGAGAGTAAGTCACTGGTCTTACGCTTGACTAACAAAAAGTCCCTGAATTCTTGGTGGTCTGTAAACACTGGTGGTGAGGGGAGGGGCGGTCCGAACAGTGGCACACTCTCCTCAGAGAAAATCTTCAATCTGGAACACACAAAGCACTGTTATACTAAACACACACACACATACATATGTAGGATCTTAATTTGAGGCAGTGTGCTACAGCAGGAAAAGAATCCTCCAGCAACAGGAAATGTGAATTATTATGTGGATTATCATTCATCGATATTTTTTGTGGGGGTTGATACATTTTACGCTAGGGCAAATCAAGTCTGACATTTTAAAGTGAAAATTACAAACTTTAGAAGCATTTTTAAAACCCCAGCTTGCATTTTCTGCTGTGCAGGAAAATTCTCATCTACAAAAGTGTGATCAAATTAAGAACCTACATATGTATGCATGTATGTAAGTATGCATGCACACACACACACGTGCACACACACGTGCACACACACGTGCACACACACGCACACACACACCAACAACGTGCCATGTACCTGAAAAATACTAATGAAAAAGCACCCCCACATACCTGTAACTGTCGTTTTGACTGTTATATCTAACTAATGCAAAAATATCTGGCAGAGAAAATAAGGAAATAACCTGAACACATACACATCACTGCTAGCTTGATAGATTGTATGGCTTCGTCCAAAAACAGCCCCCTACCCCCTAGACACTTATCATATCCCTTACCCCGTATGCCAACCTAGCCGCCTATGGAGCTACTATCATATTGCTTATACCTATTCAATTATTTCAGATTTACATGAAGTGCCCAGAGAGTAGGGGCTAGGAAATGTTTCTGGACAGGGCCTACGATTCTGGCTGCTGAAGGTCGCTTGTGGAAATGTATACAATGTCAGAAATATTTCCCGGCTGTTTGTTTCGTCATTTAAAAAAAGGATACGTGTGAAATGTGATCTGATCATGGAGGGTTTAAATGACGGAGATGTGTCCTCCCCCTCCTGGAACACTATGGTGACGATGTCATTCCCAATGTGTCTTTTCCTCTCCACCTGTTGGACGAGAGAGAGAGAGAGAGAGACAGAGAGAGAGAAAGAGAGAGAAAGAGAGAGAGAGAAAGAGAGAGAGAGAGAGAGAGAGAGAGAGAGAGAGAGAGAGAGAGAGAGAGAGAGAGAGGTGGGCGAAGACAATGAGAAAAGTCATACAATATAAATACTTGGAACAAACAAGTGAAATAACTCATATCTTATTGAGTTAGACTAGACAGTTCATGCGTTGGCAAATCTCTGGCCTAAGACATTAATGTCTGTTTTATGAGCATCTAAAATATAATTTCAGAGCTTCCATTAATTATTATAATCATATTTCTTTATACATTTGTCTATTGCTTGCAGCACCTATTCACTAAAGTCAAATTCCGGGAATGTGTAAATGTCATTTGCGAAAAAAGTGATTCTGAAGAAGGCAGAGAACACACACACACAGACACACACACACACGCACGCACAATCAATCAATCAATCAATCAAATGTAATTATAAAACCCTTTTTACATCAGCAGTTGTCACAAAGTGCTTATACTGAAACCCAGCCTAAAACCCCAAGTAGCAAGCAATGCAGATGTAGAAGCACGGTGGCTAGGAAAAACTCCCTAGAAAGGCAGGAACCTAGGAAGAAACCTAGAGAGGAACCAGTTTCTGAGGGGTGGCCAGTCCTCTTCTGGCTGTGCCGGGTGGAGATTATAAGAGTACATGGCCATTAAGGCCAGATTGTTCTTCAAGATGTTCAAACGTTCATAGATGACCAACATCAGGAGTAAATGTCAGTTGGCTTTTTATTGCCGAGCACACACAAACAGGCTTGTGAAGAGAATGTGTTTGTATTCATTAGCAACTTTGGAATCTGTTTTAGCTGGAATCCAATTATGAATGTAACCTGGAATCCAATTATGAATGTAACCCTCTCATCCACCCTCTCTTCCCTTTCATATCCCGCCCACAGATATAGGCTTTTCCTGAGTGGGTTCACACTGTAACATCAAACTGTCTTTGTTCTCCTCTTCTGCCTTTTCTCTCCGTCATACTCACACACTCTAGTCATACACACACACACACACACACACACACACTCCAGTCATACACACACACACACACACTCCAGTCATACACACACACACACACACACACTCCAGTCATACACACACACACACACACACTCCAGTCATACACACACACACTCCAGTCATACACACACACTCTCCAGTCATACACACACTCTCCAGTCATACACACACACACACACACACACTCCAGTCATACACACACACACACACCCAGTCATCACACACACACACACACTCCAGTCATACACACACACACACACACACTCCAGTCATACACACACACTCTCCAGTCATACACACACACACACACTCCAGTCATACACACACACACACACTCCAGTCATACACACACACACACTCCAGTCATACACACACACACCCATCATACACCACACACACACACACACTCCAGTCATACACACACACTCCAGTCATACACACACACACTCCAGTCATACACACACACACTCCAGTCATACACACACGCACACACTCCAGTCATACACACACACACACACACACACTCTAGTCATACACACACACACACACTCCAGTCATACACACACACTCTCCAGTCATACGCACACACACACACACACACAGTAGCAAGTGGTAGCATTGTGTGAACCTAGGGGGCTTTTCACATTTACATTTGAGTCATTTAGCAGACACTCTTATCCAGAGCGACTTACAGTTAGTGAGTGCATACATTTTCATACTGCCCCCCCGGGAATCGAACCCACAACCCTGGCGTTGCAAACGCCATGCTATACCAACTGAGCTCAACGGGGCCATAAGAGTAGGTCGTAAGGTACAAATGTAGTGTAGAATGTCAATACTTCATTTTTTATTTTGTAATGTTTTAATCAAGGTTTCTTGTCTGACTCAGTGGCATTTAGGTGTGTGTGTGTGTGTGTGTGTTTTGCTTGCGTGCATGCATGTCTGTGTGTTTTCTCTAGAGTGAGTGAATGGAGATTGAAAGACCAAGGAGTTGAGAGTATTTTATAATTCCTCGGCATCTCAACAACTCTGACATTGAACAGATAAAAGACTAACTGTCTGTTGTGTCTCTGATATGACTGTACAGCATTCAGTATGGTCATAGGTAGACAGATTGACTAGAGGTTAGCAATCTGAGAGAGAGGAGAGAAGAGAAGAGAGAGAGAGAGAGAGAGAGAGAGAGAGAGAGAATGAAGATCGATGAGCGAGAGAAGCTAGAGTAAGAGAGAGCCAGAGACGCTAGCATCTCATCATCTCTGCTATCTCTCTCCTTCTCTCGTCTCTCTCGGCTCTCCTTTTTCAACTGCTCGCTCTCTCTCGCTTCCTCTCCTCTCTCTAGCTCTCTCTCTCTATCCTCTCTCTCTTCCCTTTCCTTCTCTATGTTCTCTATTCTCTTTCCATCGTCTTGCCTTCCCTTCCCGCCTCCATCCTCTTCCTTTCGCGACCGCTTTTGTCTATCTCCCTCTTTCGTTTTTTCCCGTTTTCTCTGTGTTTAGAGGGCGCGGGTAAGGGGAACGAGCGATAGAAAAGAGAGAGAGAGAGAGTGGTGAGGGCACTAGAACAGACTTCAGCACCCGGCCTCACCCTACTAGAATCTGAAGTCAAATGTCTACTGTTTGCTGATGATCTGGTGCTTCTGTCCCCAACCAAGGAGGGCCTACAGCAGCACATAGATCTTCTGCACAGATTCTGTCAGACCTGGGCCCTGACAGTAAATCTCAGTAAGACAAAAATAATGGCACATAAAATTCGACATTCCCAATTAGGATCTGGCTAAAAATACTTGAATCAGTTATAGAACCTATTACCCTTTATGGTTATGCGGTCTGGGGTCCACTCACCAACCAAGAATTCACAAAACAGGACAAACACCAAATTGAGACTCTGCATGCAGAATTCTGCAAAAACATCCTCAGTGTACAACGTAAAACACCAAATAATGCATGCTGAGCAGAATTAGGCCGATAACCGCTAATGAACAAAATCCAGAAAAAAGCTGTTAAATTCTACAACCACCTAAAAGGAAGCGATTCCCAAACCTTCCATAACAAAGCCATCACCTACAGAGAGATTAACCTGGCAAACAGTCCCCTAAGCAAGCTGGTACTGGGGCTCTGTTCACAAACACAAACAGACCCCACGGAGCCCCAGGACCGCAACACAATTAGACCCAACCAAATCATGAGAAAACAAAAAGATAATTACTTGACACATTGGAAAGAATTTACCAAAAAACTGAGCAAACTGGAATGCTATTTGGCCCTAAACAGAGAGTGGCAGAATACCTGACAACTGTGACTGACCCAAAATTAAGGAAAGCTTTGACTATATACAGACTCAGTGGCATTGCTATTGAGAGAGGTCGCCGTAGGCAGACCTGGCTCTCTAGAGAAGACAGGCTATGTGCACACTGCCCACAAAATGAGATGGAAACTGAGCTGCACTTCCTAACCTCCTGCCAAATGTATGACCATATTAGAGACATATATTTCCCTCAGATTACACAGTCCCACAAAGAATTCGAAAACAAATCCAATTTTGATAAAATCCCATATCTATTGGGTGAAATACCACAGTGTGCCATCACAGCAGCAATATTTGTGACCTTTTGCCACAAGATTATCTATTTCACTTGCTTTGGCAATGTAAACATATGTTTTCCATGCCAATAAATTCCTTTGAATTGAATTGAATTGAATTGAGAGAGAGAGAAAGAAGAAGTTGAAAATAATGCACAACTGACCAGAAGGAGGAATGGTTACACACACACACACACACACACACACACACACACACACACACACACACACACACACACACACACACACACACACACACACACCTGCTGCTTGTTCTCCTTGGAGTAGGGTAGCATGGTGGAGATGTGGAACATCAGCTCATGGCCCTGGTACACTGTGTAGATGGAGTTCATTCCTGTAGTGTCATCTGGAGAGAGATGGGGGGAGGGGGAGAAAGAGAGAGAGAGGGGGGGGGGGGGGGATAGAGCAGTGGGAGTATAAAATAATGGGGGAGAGGGAGGAGTGCATAGGCAAGAGAGAGAACAGCGAAAAATAGAAAGAGGGAGAGAATGATCAAAAGAGAGAATGTAAATGGAAGACATCTCCATAGTCTGCGATGGAAAAACAATCACTAATAGCAGAACTCATGGTGTGTGTGCGTGTGTTTGGTGACCAGATCTTACTTTTGGTATCCAGTCCACCGCGGTAGCCCACCCAGCCCTGCAGAGAGATTGTGTCCCCTAGCAGGTTGAGGAACTTATCGAAGCTCTCGCTCCCTGTCTCTGAAGGAACAGAAGAAAGAGAAGGGTTGAAAGTACAATTCACAGAACATGGATACTTCAAATTGTGTATATGATACTTACTACCCACAATATTAGTGACTTACCATTGCTAAACATCTCATCATCTGTGAGCTGTCCATCTTTGGCATACAGGACACCGAACTTGAAGTTAACAGAACCCTAAGAAAAGACAGTTTAAAGGTCACTTTCATTATCTGCCAAAACCAGACAAGCAACCTTGGTAGAGAGCAGAAGGAAATATCTAGTAAGACTGTGGTCAACACTAGTACCTATAGTATTCACTTGAAAGAGTGACATTCATGACAGAATAAATAAATACTCTACCTCTTGCTCCTCCAACACCAGCAGGTCCTGTGCACAGAACACAAAGCACAGTTAACATCAGTTTGCCTCTCCAATCATTCCAATGAATCCCAGATCTGTTACAATATGCAACATTTCCTTTCGTAGAGACAGCCAGAGGCAAAGTCATTATTATCCGTCAGGCGATTTGTTGAGCCTTCTTGGGTGTGTGACATCACTCCGAGTCCTTACCAAAACACAAAACATGGTGGACAATTTCTCTCGCCTCGGATCTGAAACCAGTAGTAACCACCAACTTCAATGAGCGATATCTTAAAATTGAAAGACATATTTAATATTCCTACACCACAATAACATTAGCTAGATACAGGGTTTGAGTCACCTCAGCCGTTTTCTTTCTAACATTAGCTAGGCTGTGTCTAGACTCAGGAGCTTCATCTGGTTAGATAGAGGAAGACAGGTTTAAATGTTGGAACGCGTTCAGGCCTTGATTCCACCACAACAACAACTGGCTACTTGTTCATTTTCCACCAAATATGTTAAACTCATAGTTAGCTTATCCAGTGACCACCGCATTTAGAAGGACAACTACTGACTGAAATGTAGCTAGCTAGCATTCTGCATTGCTGGCTCACACTGGCCAGGCAGTAGCCAACTAGCTATCTAACAGTTAGCTAATTATGGACGTCAAACAACGCAGCTAGCTAGACTCGGGAGCTCGACAACACATGGCCAACTGGTTAGACATGATAACAACATGTACAACAATAACTGGCAACTAGTTTGTTTTCAGACAAATATGTTCAACTCATAAGTTAGTTTATCCATTGACCACCGCATTTAGGAGGATAGCTAAATAACTGAGAATTACAAACTAATTGTGGATGACCTATTCTTGATAGGGTTTACTTACTCATATCAAGCAACAGACAGTTTGTGGAAAGGTAAAAATAACAATTCGTTTTATGAATGATCGGACAGTGAAACTAACATAGGTTGGAGCTAGCTGGTGAGGCTTTCATTTATTTCCCAATTAATTAAGCTGAAGCTGGGTTTCCCAAGTCGTTCAATGCTTATACAGCTCATGCCGGCGAGCAAGCTAAACAGATGGCTCTTCAGCGCATCTGTGTGACGTCACACACCCAAGAAGGCTTGGGAAACCCAGCTTCAGCTTACTCCTGAGTGGCGCAGTGGTCTAAGGCACTGCATCGCAGTGCTAACTGTGTCACTAGAGATCCTGGTTCGAATCCAGGCTCTGTCGCAGCCGGCCGCGACCAGGAGACTCATGGGCGGCGCACAATTGGCCCAGCGTCGTCCAGGGTTGGGGAGGGAATGGCCGGCAGGGATGTAGCTCAGTTGATAGAGCATGGCGTTTGCAACGCCAGGGTTGCGGGTTCGATTCCCACGGGGGGCCAGTATAAAAAAAAAAAAAAAAAAAAAAAAAAAAATGTATTCACTAACTGTAAGTCGCTCTGGATAAGAGCGTCTGCTAAATGACTAAAATGTAAAATGTAAATGTAAGGCTCAACCAATCATCCAACGCAACTCATGAATATTAATTACTTTGCCTCCGGCTATCCTATGAAAGGAAATGTCGCTTAAAGTATGGGGCTGATAACATAGAAATAGAATTAGAACTTGACTATTATATATAATTATAAACTGGGTAGTTTGGGTCCTGGATGCTGATTGGCTGAAAGCTGTGGTATATCAGACAATATATCATGGGTATGACGCAAAATTAGTTCTTTACTGTTCTAATTATGTTGTTAACCAGTTTATAATATCAATAAGGCACCTCTGGGTTTGTGGTATATGGCCAATATACCATGGCTAAGGGCTGTATCCAGGCACTCTGCGTTGTGCCTAAGAACAGCCCTTAGCCGTGATATATTGGCCATATACCAAACCTCCTTGGGCCTTATTGCTTATATCTCTGTGGCTGATACAGTGTGATCTCACCTTCTGTATCTCTGGGTTGAGAATCTCCCTCGGGCCTTTCTCAAACCTGTCCAAGTTCATCGCACTGCAGGGGAGGAGAGGAGGAGAGGAGAGGAAGGGAGAGTGGAGAGCAGGAGAAGAGAAGAAGGGGAGGGAGAGGGAGAGGGAGGGAGGAAGGGAGAGGAGTAGAGGAGAGGGAGAGGAGAGGAGAGGAGGAAAGGGAGGGAGAGGGGCTAAAAAGTCAAGTTTACATGCAGTAACATATTCCATTCCATTCCATTCGTATCTTAAAGCAGAACGTTTCTGATGTAAATGGCATGTTATGGAAGGGTCCAGACAATTTTTTTGTGATTTGGCTTGTTTTTGAGAAACGTACCCCGATTCACTTCCTCATTGAGGAACATTGATCCAAGATGGCGTAGCAGTGCGGTCATGTATTCTGTTGTGTCCTCGTGTAAATAGCCTGTTTTTTCTGTGTCTTTTTTCGTATATATTTCTCTATCTCACTTTCCATCCTTTAACTAAATATACTTTCCTGCAACCCGCCTCACCCAATGTGGAACGGATTCTATTATTTCTTTACACCCTTTATCAAGAACCTACGGCTGAAACTAGCCAGCTAGCCAGCTAACTAGCTACTTGCTATTAGCCACCGTTAGCGGTCTTCACCACTGTCCGTGGCCTGCACTACCTACCAGCTAGCTCTAGCCTGGACAATTATCGGCCAGTCTGCACAGTGTGCTATCGACCCAGAACATATCGGATTTGCTGCCAGAATCACTGAATCACTGGACCTTAACACCGGATCATCGCAACTAGCTAGCTGCAACCGAATGGCTGTTGTTGGCTAATCATCACTGTCCCGACGCACCAGTTAGCCTTGAGCTAGCCTCGAGCCAGGCCCATCTCCCGGCTATCTACCTCTCTGTCAACCAGGTGGGACCTCCTAGTGTTGACACGGAGCCCCACTGATCCATCACGACTGGTCTGCCGACGTAATCGTCTGATGTGGTTTCAACAGGCTTCCCGTTGTGATGACCACGAAGATCCATCTGCTAGCCCCGGCCCGCTAGCACGCACAATCAACAGCCGTGCCTCCTGCTCGCCTGTGCTGTAGCTGCCTACGAACTGCTCCCGGACTTACCTATTGCTGTTCACTGGACCTTATGATCACTCAGCTACACAGCTGATGCCTGCTGGACTGTTCCTTTACACGGTACCCCATCCTATTTATCTGTTTAGCCTCAGCCCAAACTTTCGTCGCCATTACCAGTTGTTGTCTTAGCCCTCTAGAATAACACCTGTGATTGCGTTATGCCTCTCTCCCATGTCAATATGCCTATTGCTGTTAGGGTTAGTTCTTATTGTACTATTTCACTGTAGAGCCCCCAGTCCCGCTCAACCTGCCTCAGACAGCTCCTTTGTCCCACCCCCCATACACGCGGAGACCGGCTCAATCGGTACCTCCAGTGATGCTATCTCTTTCATCGTTACCCAATGCTTTGGTGTACCTCCACTGTACTCATATCCTTCCATATCCTTGTCTGTACATAATGCCCTGAATCTATTCTACAACGCCCGGAAATCTACCCCTTTTATTCTCTGTACCCAACGCACTAGAAGACCAGTTCTTAAAGCCTTTGGTCATATCCTTATTCTATTCCTCCTCTGTTCCTCTGGTGATGTAGAGGTTAACCCAGGCCATGTAGCCCCCAGTATCACTCCTACTCCCCAGGCGCTATCATTTGTTGACTTCTGTAACCGTAAAAGCCTTGGTTTCTTGCATGTTAACATCAGAAGCCTCCTCCCCAAGTTTGAGTTATTCACTGCGTTAGCACACTCTGCCAACCCTGATGTTCTAGCAGTGTCTGAATCCTGGCTTAGGAAGGCCAACAAAAAATTCAGAAATGTCCATCCCGAACTACAACATTTGCCGTCTAGATAGAACACCTAAAGGGGGCGGAGTTGCAATCTACTGTAGAGATACCCTGCAGAGCTCTATCAGGTCTGTGCCCAAACAGTTTGAGCTTCTACTTCTAAAAATCCAACTTTCCAGAAATAAGTCTCTCACTGTTGCAGCTTGCTACAGACCCCCTCAGCACCCCAGCTGTGCCATGGACACCATATGTGAATTGCTTGCCCACCATCTATCCTCAGAGTTCGTACTGCTTGGTGACCTAAACTGGGATATGCTTAACACCCCGGCCGTCCTACAATCTAAACTAAATGCCCTCAATCTCACACAAATTATCAAGGAACCTACCAAGTACAACCCTAAATCCGTAAACATGGGCACCCTCATAGATATCATCCTGACTAATTTACCCTCTAAATACACCTCCGCTGTCTTCAACCATGATCTCAGCGATCACTGCCTCATTGCCTGCGTCCGTAATGGGTCCGCGGTCAAACGACCACCCCTCATCACTGTCAAACGCTCCCTAAAACACTTCAGCGAGCAGGCCTTTCTAACTGACCTGGCCCGGGTATCCTGGATGGATATTGACCTCATTCTGTCAGTAGAGGATGCCTGGATGTTCTTCAAAAGTGCTTTCCTCTCCATCTTAAATAAGCATTCCCCATTCAAAAAATTCAGAACTAAGAGCAGATATAGCCCCTGGTTCACCCCAGACTTGACTGCCCTTGACCAGCACAAAAACATCCTGTGGCGTACTGCATTAGCATCGAACAGCCCCCGCGATATGCAACTTTTCAGGGAAGTCAGGAACCAATATGCACAATCAGTTAGGAAAGCAAAGGCTAGCCTTTTCAAGCAGAAATTTGCATCCTGTAGCACTAACTCCAAACAGTTTTGGGACACTGTAAAGTCCATGGAGAATAGGAGCACCTCCTCCCAGCTACCCACTGCACTGAGGCTAGGAAACTGTCACCACCGATAAATCTATGATAATCGAGAATTCAATAAGCATTTTGCTACGGCTGGCCATGCTTTCCACCTGGCTACCCCTACCCCGGCCACCAGCTCTGCACCCCCCACTGCAACTTGCTCTGCACCGCCCTCGTAAAACTGACTATCCTACCGATCCTTGACTTCAGCGATGTCATTTACAAAATAGCTTCCAACACTCTACTCAGCAAATTGGATG